AAAAAAAAAAAAATGGCTGCCATTGCGAGAAGAAATTTGCGCGAATGTCTTGCCGTGGCTTTGACTGGCAAGACTCCTTCGTTGTCTGCGGTGAGCGCCGCGAATTGCGAATAACGAATTACTTAAGAAACCAAATTTATAATGTAATACTTACCTATTTATGAAATAAAAATAAAACAATTGTTAATAAAATTCCAGATAATTTAGACAGTGATCTGAACGCTGCGACGGCTGAAGTAGAAAGAACGAATTCTCGAAAAGGAACTCATAGGCTGTCAAAAATGGAATGGGAGAAACGAAACGATAGCACGATAGAAAAAAAGCCTGGAACAAATAGAGTTCCACTGACATTGATTAATTACAGAAATTATGTATGTAGTTAGACATAGCATAACATAGATATATGTATATGTATGTATGCAAGTATAAGTAAGTGAATTCGCCGCACTCTGGAGACCCGCAGAGAATGTCATCGAAATAAATGAGCGTGCATCGCTTAATCCATGTTAAATGGAAAACTAAACCAAGCGAATTTCATTGGTAGCATAAATAAGTACATGTATGTACGCATGTATGTGTGCATGTGTGCAGAGACCAAAGCAGACCCGTGCTTGCGAATTCGCCGCATGTTAAATGTCTTTGATCGCTGTGAATGGCATGCAATATGGCGCCGGCAAGAAAAACAAGTTGAAGCGGCTGTTGAATTAAGCATGAATTACATATGTACATATGTATGTACATACATATGTATGTATAATGGGTCATGACGTCGTTCTACTAATTAGAAACGCTGTCCGAGAAGAGGCGTAACCTGTTTGTCGCAGCATCCTTCGTAAATTAATTGAGGCGGCGACTGCGATTCCGATTGGCGTACTGGACATAGCCGCTGGACAGAGTGAAGTGGCTCATATTGTAAGTTGTATACGCAGATGCCGTGATTAATTGCCATTTTTCCTGTTACACAAATAGCACCTGCAGAGGGAAAAGGAGAGAGCGCGCGCCTGAATGTGAGACAGCGGCTGTAATGCTGAATTTACATGTATGCATGTTTGTGCCTCGCGATTGCATTAGTGTTGCAGTTCCACTATCATGCATATAGATATGTACATATGTGTATGTACATGTACGTAGCAATAGACACAGTATTGTTATTGTTATTATATTACACCTGTTACATGCTCTGCATGTAAGTGCAAAACGAGAGAAGGAGAGGGCGCAAGAGCTTGTACGTGTTCGTGTGTGTGGGTGTGCCAGAGGTGCATTGTTATTGGCCGCCTCTGCTGTTGCTGCCATTTCACTCTCACCTGCAGCTCAAAGGCAAGAGTGAAAGCGAAGGATGGACGATTTTAGTCAAATTTTGAATTGAGATTCAAATGCAGTCAAAGCTTCCCAAAGCTCCCGCCGAAAATGTATATCCCGTTGCGCTTGCGCCCTCTTTCCTCTCTCACCAATTAGCTTTTCGGCCACCACCGCGCAATTCCTGTGAATGGGAGAGAGCCGGAGAGAGTTTCGGCAGGTGCGCTTTCGCTGGCGCAGCGGCAACTGCATTAGCTTTGCCAATGACGCCAAACACTTCAATCTCTGGCCGAGTGGCAATTTCAAATTAGCTTTCCTCCTCAAGGCGTTCGGTCTCCTGACCGGACGCGCAATTTTTACTTTTGCAATTTATTTTTGTGCAAACAAGTTACAAGTGCAACAAAAGTTTCTTTGTTTTTCAAGTGGAACTTCACCTTTTCTTAGGTAAAGCAATAAA